AGGGAAGGAAGCCACTGTTTCTGGAGGGCATCCCCCCCCCCCCCCCCCCTGCTCCACTGAAGCCCCGCGCTGAAGCCCTGGTGAGGTGTGCTGGAGTTGCAGCCTGATCTCTACCACTTCAGCAGGGCTCACTAGCGCTGTCGTCTCCGCCACCACTGCTGGGGACCTGGGTTACAGGCACTGTCCCTGACATTCCTTCTTTTTTGCCTATCCCATTCATTCCAGTCCACCACCTGCAACTGTATAGACATGTGGATCTCTCAGGCAACCTGGTGTGTTGAGCATAGGAATCTTTGCTGAGTTATAGATGTCCCTCTAGTTGTAGAACAAAGGGGAGAGAAAAAGGAAGCGTTTTACTTCTTCATAAGTAAGTTTTACTTCTTCATGCTGATTTCACCTCTGAATAAGGTTTTAGATCAGTTTTGTTTTTTGTATTTTTGCTTTGAGTACAACTTAAGAATTTCTTTTCTGTCTTTCCACCATATTTCTTATTCTTGAGTTTCCTGTTGAACATTCTTTATTTTCCAAACCATGTTTTCATTTTATTCTATTCAGTTTTCTGAAGTACTTTTTTTACAGAAAAGTAGACAGTGGAATCAAAGACCCAATAATAGGGAATTTACATTTTATATAATAGTGTATTAATGCAGTTGTAGTTTAATTTTATTGCAGTCTTTTGCCTGAGGCCCTCCTTACATTAAAGAAAGGTTTGAGTATATTGAATATGTTGAAAAATCACATTGGCTAAGAAGCAGCTAGCATAGTGGATAAGAGCACTGACTCAAGAACCAGACTACCTGGATTCAAATCTCAGCCATACTTTGTAACTGTGATGTTTTGGACAGGTAATTTTTACCTTTCAGTGACTCATTTCCTTTATCTGTTAAATAGGAACAGTAATGCTACCTATCTCATACAGTTATTGTGAGAATTAAATCACTTAAAGTAAATGAATGCTCAGAACAGTGCCTGGAACATAAATGCTTTTAAAATGCTTTCTACCACTGTTACCCTCTTTATGATAATTTCTTTTCCTTAAGACAAACTGACATTGTCCATGTCCTTTCTCATGAAACAGCCATGTCTTAAACTAAAAATTTAAAGACCAAAACTCTAAATAACTTGGACCAGGAAATTTACCTCTAAATTTTGACTAGAAAAAAATAAGGGTACAAAGTTCTGCTATCCACAAAATCATGTTCTAGGTTGTGGTTACCCTAATGACAAATTTAATAAGCCTTCTACTACATGGAGTGTCAGAAACAAATCCTATATTGAGAAAAAACCTGTGGGCTTCTCATGACTCTGCCACATACTATCTGTTGACCTTGAATTGGTCATTTCCCTCATTAGGCATCATTTTCCTTAATTGTAAGAAGAAATAATTGATTAGACTAATTGTAAAAGTTCACGATTATTTTATATATTTTGACTTAATGTTTCAATCAGTGTTTTTAACTGAAAAGGTTACATGATATGGATAAAATCCAGTTTAGTTTTTATTTCGTAGTCCAAAAATACTTTTTAAGGCTCAAATTGAAAGCTCTCATTAGTTAACTGATAATAAAAATGAAGTGCTCACTTAGAGAACCTAAAAACCATGCACATTTTCAGTTTTTTGAGGTTTTGTTTTTATTTTCCAAATAGCCGATTATTTTGGAAATCAGAAGCTGTTATATTTTAAATTTTATTTTGTGCTACGTATATAATGTGTTTTAAAATGGAAGTCCATCAGTAGTATTTCAGCAGTAGGAAGAGTATTTTGGAATGTTGCTTGAAATAGCAAGACTTAGGTTTTCAGATCATATTAACTTTTGAGGATCTTCTATTTATTTTTTAAAAGATTTTATTTATTTTTAGAGAGGGTAAGGGAGGGAGAAAGAGAAGGAAAGAAACATCAATGTGTGGTTGCCTCTCATGTACCCCCTACTGGGGACCTGGCCCACAACCTAGGCACGTGCCCTAGGCTGGGAATCGAACCAGCGACCCTTTGGTTTGCAGACCAGCACTCAGTCCACTGAGCCACACCAGCCAGGGCTCGAGGATCTTTTATATGAAAACATTTTTAAGTTTTTAAACTGATTCATTACGTACTCTAAGACTCCTTTCTCAGTGATGTTTCCCAACTGTTTTTGGTCTGCAAACTGCTTTTGCAAGGCAGTACAATTACAAAGAAAATACAAATAAAACCATAATCAAATAGAAGAAAGGGTTTGGACATCATTGAGGACCATCATAAATAAATAGTTTAAATGAGTAAAAGAAATACCATTAAAGATGAAATACATAAGAACTGTAACCTGGTAGACACTTGGGGTTCTTTAGAAATTCACTCATCCAACCTCTTGAGTACCAAAACTTGATACTTGTCCTCTAAAAGACATATGGGCTTGTGTGAATTCATGCAATTAATGGTCTGTGGATCTTAAGTTACCAGATCACTAAGTACTATCCCAAATAATTGAAATGAAACATGTTCACACAAAAACTTGTACACGAATGTCCATAGCAGCATTATCATAATGGCCAAAAAATTAAAACAATCCCCAAGTTCATCGACTGATGAACAGACTATATATACTGCCATGAAAAGGAGTAGAATATTGAGACAGGCTACAACATAGATGAATATTGAAAACATTATGTTGAATGAAGCAAATCAGGCACAAAAAGCTATATATTATACGATCTCATTGATATGATATATCCAAAATATGCAAAACCATAGAGATAGGAAATAGATTAATGGTTGTCAAAAATGGGAGGAAGGAAGAATGAGGAGGGACTACTAATGGGTAGTCACTAGAATTAGAGGTGATCATTGCACAACTTTATGAATATGCTAAACAGCACTGAATTACACACTTTAAAAGGGTTATTTATGGTGCATGAATTGTATATCAATAAAAAAATTTTAATGTACCTTACCGAAAGAACTAACAAAAAATACAAATAATGTTTCATCAGTTTGAAGGCTTTTTTATTTGAAATAGAGACTAATGAAAAGAATTTTTTAAAGATTATTCCTGTATACCCCAAACTTAGAGAATATAAGAATCTTATATGGCCCATTTGTACCTACAACATTGACCATCTCCTTTTAAAATTTTTAGGTAAATTCTGTTAATCATCAGTGTATTTTAAAGCTCAACCAATGTTTTTGATATGCTCAAAGTGTCTAACTTATAAGTTAAAATAAATAACCATTAGCTTGTGTTCTGAGATGAGATAATCCAGCCTATGCACAATTGAATAATTTCCTGATTTTATTGACTATTAAAGATTAGAAGAAGAGGATCGTTCAGTTTTTAGCTCTGAATGCTGCTCTTTTCCCCCATTATGAGATATTTTAAAAATACAGTTAAGTGTTTCTGATATATGATCCCAATTATATTATTTTAGTGTATGTTCCTAATCAGCTTTTTGAAAAAAATTAGGAGTCAGGCAGTTGGTATTTGTGTGTGTGTGTGTATTTGAATATCTATAAATAGATGAACCAAATTATACCATACAGAGCAAAGAGTCCTAAATACAAAATTATATGCCATATTTCTAAACTTAAATGTGATAATACTGTTTTTACATTTAAAAACTAAAATAGAAGAATTTAGGCTCAAGTATCAAATAAGTCTAGGTTCAAATTGTGGCCTTGTCAGTTATTTACAGTGTATTCTTAGTCATATTATTAGCCATTTTATGCTTCAGTTTCCTCTTCTGTCAATTACATGATAATACTACATGTCGTCACTATGGAAACATAGGAGATAATATAAATAAAGGTCTTAGTACAGTGGGAAGCTCCCTAATTTTGCTGTCATTTTTGTAATAACCATTACCATCCTATTCTCAGCTGTTTTTGAACAGTTAGTATTTTTCTGTTTCATAAGTTTAATGCCATTTTATTGCTCATTCTTTTTTTTACAGATTATTTTAATTGTATTTTTCCCGTTACCATTTGGCCCATTATACCCCCTCCCCACCTTCACCACACAATTGTCCACGTCCACGAATCCTCTTTTCTTATTTCTCAATCCCTCCATTCCCTGCCCTCCCCCCACCCCTTAGCTGTCACTGTGCTCTCTCTGAGTCTGCCCCATTTCCCTTGAGCGTTCCGTTTGTTCATTAGATTCCACAGACGAGTGAAATCATATAGTATTTGTCTTTCTCTGACTTGCTTATTTCACTTAGCATAACGTTTCCAGGTCCATACTGTCGCAAAGGGTAAAATTTTCTTTCTTTCTTTTTTTTTTTTTACGGCTGAGTAGTATTCCATTGTATCAATGTCCCATAATTATTTTATCCATTCATCTACTGATGGACACTTGGGCTCCTTCCATATCTTGGCTGTTGTAAAACTGCTCATTCTTAATAAGAGTTACAGAGTCTAGAATTCACCTTGGTTCTCTCAGAACTTTCAGTGTCTTCTGATCTTGCTGGAACAATTTTCTGCTTTAGAAAGTCTGAATCCGTCCTCTCCTTTTCAGATGTCTTTATCTTTTATTGTAAAGATCTTTAATATATTGGACTTGTTAAAATTAATGATTAATGGATGGTCTCTGAATGAATAACTCAGCAACTTGACCAAGGCTTTCTTAAATCACTGGCAATATAAGGGAATTCAGGTATCATCACAGTGGTAAATTTTGATATACCTGCAGATGATAATATCTTTACTTTTCCTTGTTTTTGCATTCTTAGTACTGAAAGAAGTTCAGTCCTACAGATTCTATTTAGTTCAGGTTTGGACCAAGTATTTTTGTTGCTGGAATTTCATGTTCATAATTAGTCATTTATACTAATGACTTTAATTAAAAATACTTTTAAAGTGGTAATGAAAAAATACAATAAAAAGTAAAGAAATACTATTCTTTTAAATAAATGGTAATTTCCCACACTGGTGAAAATACAATTTTTTTGTCATTTGAATACTGTATTTTCTGTTTATATTTCCAGAGAATATTTTGCCTTTAAAAATCAAGTGTTTTATTTTTATTTTTTAGCATACCTCCAGATAACCTCTCTATTCAAGAATTTCAGAGAAATGAAAGTATTGATGTTGAGGTGAGGAAGCTATTTAAAACATTTTCCTTTGACTGTTTGTGAAAAGCACATAGTAGAATGTTGAATCTATAAAATTGCTAAAAGAATAAAGTGGAGTAATAGGTTAAGCTTGAACCAAAAGTATTAAAACCTTATAAAGGTTAAAGGTTAATTTTAAAGCACTGAAAATTTTTAAATGACTTCCTTATATTTGCTAGCTTGTGCTGTGTATATATTTTCTAGATACTTCGTTGTGTCCATTTAATAATTTTAAGTAGCAGTTGATTCAGTAAAATAAATGCATTAGTCAACAAGCATGTACTGTATTTAAAGCTACTCTACAATTGAACAACTCAGATGTTTGTAGTTCAAATTAATGAGTTGCTTAGATTTTTTTTTTCTGTTTTTAATTAGCCATAGACATGGCCTCTAGAATCCTTGAAGCAAATGAGTTTTAAAGAATATATTTTGTTGACTATAAATTGAATTTAAAGAAGTAGTTTTTGGTTGTGGATTTTTTGTTGAGGGAATCATTGTTTTGTTTTGTTTTTCCTTTAAGTGGGATAGGGGAACTTTTAAGTAAATCAAATCAAACCCATTTAAAGTGTACATAAGAAGCATAAGCATCGTCATGTAAATACAAAATACTGCTTTTGTCTAGTTACTATATTAAAACTCTTGTAAACTTTTCTTCAAAATTCCCTTCTTTTTCTTCAAAAGGAAAAAAAATAGTACATTATATACTAGAAATAAGCTAGTGAACAAAAATGAATATAACTTTTTCTTACAACTCATTTTTATGGTTCTAAAAGGTAATATAAATCTTATTTTTAATCCTGTTTTGGATATTTTATTCTAATATGGATAAATTCCATATGCTGATTCTTTCTCTAGAGCACTGCAGATATACATATACCCTGCATATACCCTGTTGAAGATCAACATTTGCTAAAACCATTGCATAGTAAACAGTTTATAGTGTTGATTACTTTGTGATAGCTATTTACTAGAACAGGTGGGGGAAGCAGACTAATCACCCTCTATACTAACATTAAAATGTTTGTGTACTTCTATTAAGAAAGATTCTTTAACTGATTTTTAGAAATGGTCTTTTGTGTCAGTCTTTTTCAAGAAAAAAACGCACTTGAATTGCCTCTTTTGTTTTAGGTAGTTCAGCTTATCAGCACTGAGATACTACCTTATGCCAATTTTATTCCTAAGGAATTTGTTGGTCAGATAATGACCATGCTTAATAAGGGCTCAATACATTCTCAGTCATCTTCATTTACAGGTATGTTATTTCAATGTTGTTGTTTTTTAAATGTTAGTAAGTATTGAGACACTTTTGAAGGAGCCAAATGTAAAAATGTTTATTCCTTTGATTGTGGTAAATGTATATGGGAGAATGGTAAGGTGATTTTTAAGAATGTGATTTAGAGCACTTAGCTTTATGAGAGGAGAATGTGTTAAATATTCTGTGAATTATATACAATGAATTAAATTGCAAAACACTTAAGGAATCCACTTAAGGCTTTCAGGGTGACTCAGGTTACCAGTTTTGTTAAGTCATGGATTATTGGGAGGTAATAAGTATATAATCTGCCAATGGTTGGTTAACCTCTCTGAGTTTTGTCATGTACAAGATGAAGATGTTAATATTAACCTCTTTAGACTGTAAATGCAGAGTTAATCTATTTAAACAAACAAACAAAAATACCTTAACATTAGTTAGAGAAACTTCACACTTAGAGAATACTTACTACATGTAGGGTTTTATGCCAGAATATTAATCCTATTGTTCACAATATTTCTGTGAGGATAGGTTTCACCATATTACAGAAGGGGAAATGGGTTTAAAAAGCTTGAAAAAACTGCCCACATTCTTAAGTCTGGAAACCAAAATTCATCCTTAAAAAGAACTACATACTTCCTTTTGCTCTGGCTTGTGTGGCTCAATGGATTGAACACTGGCCTGTGAATCAAAGAGTCACTGGTTCAATTCCCAGTCAGGGCACGTGCCTGGGTAGCGGGCCAGGTCCCCAGTAAGGGGTGTGCGAGAGGCAATCACACATTGATGTTTCTCTCCCTCTCTTTCTCCCTCCCTTCCCCTCTGTCTAAAAATAAATAAATAAAATATTTTTTAAATGGATTTATTAAAAGAAGTACATCTTTTAATTATATCATTCTGCTTTACTGAGAGATGATCTGTAAGTTGCTTTTTGCTGTTCTCTTTTTCTAAGCCTGTTCTTAAGTGTTTAATATAACTGTGGCATCATAATGTGATTTTTCTGTTAGATGAATAAAAATTGTAAATATGCGCCATCAATACCTACCCTTAATCCCCAGAATTTACCAGAGCAGTGACTGACTTAGCTACTAAATTGTGAACACTTTAAAGAGCATATACGTGCACAGCTTGACCACTAGATGTCTCTCATGGTGCTTACTTCGCAAACTAGTTCTTTTTTTCTAGCCCAGACAATTTTTAAAACTGTGCAGATTTAACACACATGAGACCCTCAGAGAAAAAAAATCTTGAAGTCCATTTATCTTAATGTAGTCAACTTTCTATTATAGAGTATATGAAAAATTTTATAAACATTTTTATAAAATATACATTAAGAACAATATTTATCATTACTTGATATAAATATTTTGGGCTAAATATGGACTACTGAGTTACTATGTATACTTTTTCATTAGTGTACTAGGATGTCTGTTACCATTTATACTATTAAGTGTACCCTGATAAGGAAGGTGCATGGTACCTGAAGGTACATGACATTTTTCCAATGACTCTGAGTTTGAATGTTTTTTAAACATATACATACAGAGCCATCCTTGCCAAACAAGACCAATCCGTAAACACAGAGGTTCCAGTGATCGTTTTGGTCCCCTGCCCTTAAGTATGATCTGACAGCCAAAACTCACAGACATTTGAGGAATTCCTCCAACATGGAAGATAAAGACCGAAACAAATGAAGGAGGGTAAAAAAAACTGGGAGGAAAGAGATAATGTAGAATCATAGAAAACATTTTAAAAAAGAAAAGCACAATTAGTATAATTAGGATGCTCAAACAGATTAAAAAAACTTTACATCCATGAAACAAGGAAAATTTTATTAAAAGGGAATAATTAGAATATTAAAAGAGGTCATAGAAACTAAAATGTAATAGAAGAAATAACAAGTTCAACGAAGGGTTGGAAGAAAACATTAAACAACCCAGAAAGTACAGCAAAGACAAAAATGTGAACAATATGGGAAGAAACAAATAAAATAAATAAAGGGATATAATATCTGACACTAGGTCTTCCATACAGAGAATAGAGAAAAGAGAGGAGAGGAAATTCTCAAAGAAACAACATGAAGAAATAAATCTTCAAATTAAAAATGGTCATTCAGGACCCAGAAGAGTGAAAGAAAAAGGACCCACAATGAGGCATGTCATCATAAAATATCAAAACCTCGACGATAAAGAGAAGATCCTAAAAGATTTCAGAAAGAAACGAAAAAAGTTCCACACAAAAGAGTTGTATCAAAATAACATTGGAATCCTCAGTAGCCACACTGGATGCTAAAAGACATCGAGGCAGTGGTTTTAGTTATAAATAGAAAAGATTTTTAATGTGGAATTTTATTCTGGGCCTACTGTTGGGCCAAGTATGAATGTAGAACATTAATTTTCAAATGTCAGCATGCTTTATAATCAGCTGGAGGGCCAGCCATTGCTGGGTTTTACCTCTAGAGTTTCTGATTCAGTAGGTCTGGTATGGGACATAAGAACCTGCATTTCTAACAAGTTCTCTTGTGATGCGGAGGCTGCTAGGATCCACACTTTGAGTATCACAGTAAAATAGTGACATTTGCAGAAATGCAAGGTCTCAAAAATTATACTTCCCATTCTCTCTTTCTCAACTGCTGTGGAATATGCTCCATGAAAACAAAAGAATAAACTAAGGAATGGGGTGGCATGAGATCTAGGAAATAGGATAAAACACAAGAGAGAATAAAAACAATTTGCAGAGTCATGGCAAAGACTAGTTCCAAGATATAGCTGGTGTGCAGCATGTGTAGAGAAAAACTAATCCAGACTGGAGCAGAATTCAGGCTCCAGGAAAGATGGTGCTAAGGGAAGAAACAAAGAAAGAAAGGGAAGGAAGGGAGGGAGGGAGAGGTCATTGCAAGTTTGACCGTGTAGAATATTATTGATAGTTATTCTACTGTGCTGTTGAAAGATATAAAAAGACCATGACAGGAAAGATGTTGAGTAGAAGAGATGAGAGTGTATAGTCTTGCCTTGTTTTTGATCTTGCTAGAGAGAAAAGTGTGTGTATATATATATATATGTATGTGTGTATATATATACTTTTTAAGAGTTATCATTAAAGTATATTAATTTAACTTTTATTAACCATCAAAAATTATTTTACAGAAGCTGAGATTGATATCCGTTTGAGAGAAGAATTTTCTAAAATGTGCTTTGAAACATTACTCCAGTTTTCCTTCAGTAATAAAGTCACAACACCCCAAGAAGGCTATATCTCACGAATGGCACTTTCAGTGCTTTTAAAAAGGTCTCAAGATGTACTCCATCGCTATATAGAGGATGAAAGATTAAGTGGTAAATGCCCCCTTCCGAGGTATATATTTTATTTTATTAAAGAATAAAATATATTATTATAGTTATTTTAAAAAAACCCTCTGAAAACCAAATGTTTTCATAAGTGATCTGAACTTTACCTTCTGAGGCTATTTATAATTTTATTTATTCCATACAATCTAAACGGTCTTTAGTTTTAGTGATGATATGTTAATGTTTTATTATGGGGTGCCTTTTCAGATTCCTCATGGAGGTTAAGTAATATGTGATATATATACCAAATTACCTTTTGAATTTGAAAAAGAAATTTAATTCTAAAATACATTTTTTTCACAAGGATTTCTGGCTAAGGGCTTATGGATTTGTATGAGTGCATGATTGTGTATTTCTCTAGAGATAAAAATAATAAATTATCCTTTAGGAACTTCCCAGTTTGTTTAACACTCATTTCTAAGTTTCTCTGTATTATACTAAACTGATTTGCTTCTCCTTTAGCCAGACTATAATGGCAGAAGGGGCCTTAAGTGTTTCTGCTAAGCTAAGGCTAATCAAAGTTGGGGCAGAAGTCATCAAAAAAATGCATTCATAAGTTAGGGTTGTATTGCCAATCTACTTTTTAATGTAAAAGCTAGAATTTGAGTGTAAAGCAAATGGAACCAAAATAATATTGGAAGACAAAGTTATTAAAGTCAGGAAAGAGGAAAATCACTGTGGGTCCCATTTCCTAAGCTAGTATTAGAGAGGGAAATCACTAGCCCTAAATTTTTGTGCACATTCTTATTTACCTTTAATAAATTTTCGGAGTTGGAATTGACTTGTCAAAAGATATAAACATTATAGAAGCTTTTGATGTGTATTACAAATTGCCTCCCAGGGATTTCTACCAATTTACATTTTCCAAGGAGTATATGAATGTCCATTTCTTCAGTTTTTAGCATTTTAAAATTATTTGCCAGTTTATCATTTATTTTCTTTTTCAAATTTGATGAATGAAAAATAGTCACATAGTAGTTTGCTGTGCTTTCTTTTTGAATTATCAAAGCTTATTACTCATTGTAATTTTTTTAGGATTCACTGTATTTTGAATTTCTACAGCATAAAAATTATACCTCATATTCAGGTATATATATACAAAAACATTCCAAAGACTAGTAACTTGGTTATAGTCATAACTTAAAATTGATTTATCAAAATTGATCTGAAGTATACTTGAATAAACTAATAAAGTTGCTTTGTTTGGAATATTTATATTTATTAGCTTATAACATATTTGATTTCAAAAAATAACTTTTCCTTAATTTTTAAATGTTTTGTATTCTATTGTTTTTAAATTGAATCTTATTTATAGTTGTGCTATGAAGTGTTATATTGTATCATACTATGATGTGGTTACCATTACATTATTTTCTAAAAAGCTACATTGCAACAGGATAAAATACTTCAGTGCTTACAAAGAGCAGCTTGACATTGTACCCTTTCATAGTACTAGGAACATCTTATTTGCAGAATGGTAACACAGATGCATGCCAGGAATAGGGTTAGGGCACTGTTTATACTATAGCATAAGAATTTTATTTTTGTAGGGAGAAATAAGGGACTCAAGCTACTCTTGTTCATACTTTACAGCAAATTCATTCCTCATTGTTAATGTCTCCCAATAGTGCCACCTTAGAACTGATTTTGAGCATGTTACTTGTTGTATGAGAATGTTAAATAAAAACACTAATATAACTTTAAATACTTTTAAACAGCAAGATAAATATATGTGCTAGGATGTAATAGTAGTCTTTATTTCCATTTAATCTTTGGCAAATCCTTTCTAGTACTAATTAGTTAAAAATAAAAAACCTTTCACAGTGAAGTTTTAAAAGCATATATTATAAAATGCTTTAATTTTAAGTAGCTACATGAAATAGCTTACAAATAAATTTAGATTTACATGAGTAGATTGCGTCTCCCCCTTTTATAAATTGATAATTAATGGTTAGAATAACTGTGTATCTTATTTGTACATTGAAGTATATATGTTAATAAAATTATTTTTCTTTTATAAAAATTAAAAACTAACATTAAGTTTGCATTATACTCTAATTTTCCCAAAGTCTATATCTTTGTATAAACAGTAAAAAACACATATGGCCTATCTTAAAATCTTGATGGAAATAATTTCCCATTTCTTTTTTAGGCAACAAGTAACAGAAATCATATTTGTTTTAAAAGCAGTCAGTACTCTCATTGACTCACTTAAGAAAACTCAGCCTGAGAATGGTAAGTGCTTAGAAACTCAGTTATTCTAAACTCATAACATTTATGTTCAATTTGTGATGCACTTTTGTATTATTATTAAGTTATCTGAATTTTAGGAAAATAACAGCATTTAGACTTTCTTTTTCCCTAGTCTTTATGGCAGCTAAGCATCAAGTCCATTAAGATGTCAATTAAGTGCCCTGACTCAGTGGATTGAGTGCAGGCCTGCAAACCAAAAGGTCGCTGGTTCAGTTTCCGTTGAGGGCACATGCTTAGGTTGCGGGCCAGGTACCATTAGGGGCCTAAGAGAGGCAACGTATTGATGTTTTTCTCACACATTGATATTTCTCTTCCTCTCTTTCTCCTTCCCTTCCCCTCTCTCTAAAATAAATAAAATCTAAAAAAAAAAGATGTAAATGAACTAAAATTAATTTGTAATGTTTTATGTTCTTTATGTTAAACAGCAGTTTGGCTAACTTTATTTTTAATAAATTGCTCTGAATTCAGGGTGTTACATTGACAATTCATATATTTCATATATTTTTAATATAGAATATCATTGTCTTTTTAAGATGGGGGGAGGCTTCCATTCCACATTTGTACTGATTTACTGTATAGAGATAAACTGTATAACTATGAATCATTTTTATAGCCCTTCTAAATTTATTTTCCCTTTCTGTTACTCATTCTTGTCCAATCTGTTCTTTATGTTATTGTCAGAAATGATTTTTCCAATAGTGTAGATGACCATTCATTTTCTCATCTTTGTAAAACAAAACAAAAATATCTATTTTTACTTACCATTACCTACCAAGTGTGTGTTGAGAACTGCCTGACTCCATTCTATTAGTGCTTGATTCCCAACCCTTTGCTTATTTCACTCTGCCTACATCCACCCGGTTCAAATATCACTCCACTTTTGAGCCTGTTTTTAATCCTTAGAGATAAATGATTTCTCTTTTTTTTTGAATTCCTCACTCTTGGATGTCTACTTTGTCTTAAAGCATTGTTTGTATTATAGTTATACACGTATTATAGTTATACATGTACATGATTCACTCCCCTTAAATTGAAAAGTTTTTAAGAGGCTTTGTGGTCCATGTTTTGTTCTAGTATTTTAAATCCTCTACAACTGGCCTGTTGGACCAGCCACTGATCCTGAGAGTTTGTTACTGATCTAGGACAAGAGCTAGCACCAGAGTACAAGTCAGTTGTGTCACTAAACACACCGGTTCAACGGACATTTTTTAGACAACCAGACTTTGTTAAATAAGGAAGTGTATTGATGTACATTTTGGCACCTTAGCTCACTGGCAGTTTAAGCAGCATTACTTTTACTACCCAAGAAAAAAGGAAGTGCCTAATTAAGGAGTCCCAGGATATTTGTTCTCGTCAGTTTTTATATAATTAAAGTAAATACATATCTTTCTGTTTTCTAAATCTACCCACTGGTACTTCAGCCTAGAAAAGGTGAATGTTATATGAAATCTTAAGAGACAATAGACTTATATTTATTCAACCAAAGGGAGGGGTGGAATTTCTAAGAAAAATCCTGGAACAATGTCCTGAATTCATCACATCAATTTCAAATTTGAGTTCTTATAAAAAAATATTCTAGTTGATTTTTCAGAGAGGGAAACCATGCATTGACTTTCTAGAGATCAGTCAGTAAAATCTTTATTAGATCATAAGATAGAATTTGATTCTTTAAAATATATTATACTTAATTTCCATAAACAGGAAATTCTCTATTTCCCATGTTATTGCTGTAGATATATTAAATATAACCAGTATATTTCAATGAGTAGTACTTTCATTTTTTTGAATACTCTTTAGACAGTTGTCAAGAATTTAACAAGAGTTTGTATAAAGGAAGAAAAAGGAAGGAAAGAAGACCCAGCAACCTGTTTTTTTTAAAGCCAATGGGCCATGGATAGGGGCACTGTGATTATTAATGTTAAAAATTGTTTAAGAGAGTTTTAATTATGCCTCTAAGTATATGAAGATTTAATTTAAATGTAACTATAAATAATGATGATGATATTATAACATATAAAAAGGTATGATAAGCTTCATTAAGAAACAGAAAGAAAAGAAGCTAACTTAGGCAAAGCCAGGCCTTTTCAGCAGAAATATGTGTGCTCATAACCAGTTCAAAATTCATTCAGGGGGATGGCTCACAATGTTTGGAACCAGTGTATACCCAACATCTGTTTAGCACATTGGTTATTTGTTTTAGGGTTTTCTACTGGGAGAGGAGGCATTTGTTGGAATTATTTTTAGTTGATCTTTATTTAAACATTTGAATAGGCAGTAAACACACATGGTTGAAAAATATGAAAAGATATAGAAGGAAATGTTTTAAAAGTTTTAAGACTTTCTTCTATTCTGTATCTGCCCAGTTCTTACTTCAGCATAGGCAATCATTTTTATTAGTTTTTGGATCCTCCCAAAAGTTTATTGTATAAATACAAAATATATACTTCAATATGCCCCTAGTTTTTAACACATATGAATGTGCCTCATCTTATACTTACTGTTCTAAACACTTAAAAAAAAAAAAAGATTTTATTTATTCATTTTTAGAGAGAGGGGAAGGGAGGAAGAGAGGGAAACATCAAATGTGTTGTTGCCTCTCGCATGCCCTCTATTGGGGACCTGGCCCGCCACCCAGGCGTGTGCCCTGGTGGGAATCAAACTGGCGACCCTGTGGTTCACGGGCCAGTGCTCAGTCCACTGAACCACATCAGCCAGGGCTGAATTCTTATTTTTCACTTCATAAAATATCATGAAGAAGCTTTTATATCAATACATGCAGCTTTTTCATTTTTTTTTGATAGTTAAGTCCAGAGTTCCCACCAATATCTATGGTGAGTTTTTAAAAAATATTTTAATTTTAAAAATTTGAGTAGCTTCTCCACAATTTAAGATGTTATCTTAAATGATGTATTTTTGTATTTTTCTGTAATGAACCATTGGGGCAATCTAGATAGGTTTCAATCTGTGCAATATTTTTTCTTTTCAATTTTTTATTGTGTAAGATACAATAAAATTTATCATCTTAACCATTATTAAGTGTACAGTTTAGTGGTATTAAATACATTTATAATGTTGTGCAACCATCACCACTAGCATCTCCATAATTCTTTTTATCTTGTAACTGAAACTATACTTATTAAACAATAACTCCCCATTCATTCCCTATTCTTCCCATCCCATGGCAGCGACCAGTTTATTTTCTGTCTCTATGATTTTAACTATTGTGAATATCTTATATAAGTTTAGCCATACATTATTAGTGTTTTTGTGACTGGCTTATTTCACTTAGCATAATGTCATGAAGGTTCATCCATATTATATCATATTGTGGAATTCCTTCCTTTTAAGGCTGAATAATATTACATTGTGTGCATGTATACACACCCCCACACACACATTTTCCTTATCCATTCATCTATTCAAGTGGACACTTGGGTTGCTTCCATGTTTTAGCTATTGTGAGTAATGCTGTTATAAACATGTATGCACAGATATCTCTTTGAGACACTGCTTTCAAGTTTTTTGGGTGTACATATATGTGTGTATATATATATCCAGAAGTGGAATTGCTAGATTATATGGTAATTCTATTTTTTATTTTTTGAGGAACCACAATACTGTTTTCCACAGCAGCTGTACCATTTGATATTTCCACCTACAGTGAACAAGGGTTCCAGTTCTTACCAACACTTGTTTTTTTTTGTTTTTTATAGCAATTCTGATGAGTATGAGGTGGTATCTCGTTGTAGTTTTGATTTGCATTTCCCTGATGATTATTGATTTCGAGCATCTGTTTATGTGCTTTATTGTCCATTTCTATATCTCCTTTGGAGAAATGTCAATTCAGTTCCATTTTTGAATTGACTGACTTGGTTTTTTTGTTGTTGGAGCCTCTGTGTCTGTACCTCTGTGATCGGAAGCAGTGATCAGAGTACAGAAATCATGATATTTGGAGGATAAGGAGAGTCCTTTTCACCCACGTTGGCCTCCCACAAGCTGTGAGCAAGGTGCTTCAGGAACATTTTCACAGCTTCCTACCACATGGCTGGGGTGAGGGCTGGGTAGTGGCTACTAAGTGCTAAGAGCTGACGCTGACCAAAATTAACTGCAGTATACTGTCCAGGTCTTCCTCTGGAAGTTGCAAGCCCTTAGTAGACTTCTGAGTTCCATTCATAATAATGACATTAAACAGGTCCTGCCAGTGCAGTCATTGTCCAGTTGGGTAAACAGATTTCTGGTACTTCATACTCTGCCATTTTTCCCCAGAATTATCTCTCTGCAATCTTTTGTTAAATGAGTAATGGAAAATTTCACCAAAGGCCCCTGGAGCAGACTGTGTAAAATTTTTTTGACCAGAGGTTATTAAATGTTTTGTTTTCTATTAAGCAACAAAATTCTTTCTACAAATGAAATCTGATATGGACTCCCAAAATATAACGCAGGTAAAAGCAGAATAGCTTTGGCCTGATATCCCCTCCCTCATTAATACCTATCAGTCCTACTCCTCTCTTCTTCTTCCCACCCCCACTCCAAGGAAGCCCCTGTTTATGTGGAGAAGGGATTAAATTAATTAACAGGTTAGCATTTCCCAGGATATGTACTAAGGGATGGATATTAATGATGATGAATGATGTCAGTATGTATTGAATGAAAAAAAATTTTGTAATCAAATTAACTTTGTAAACACTGGATTAGACAAAATTAAAGTTGTTCTTTTACTATAAGCCTTTAATAAATTCATGTGAATTATGAATTCCCAACATAGACATTTGCCAAACTTACTTGACCATGAATTTTTTTTAAGAAGTAACTTTGAGAACACTGGTTTAAGAGACCCATTCCTTTATTCTACAGCAAAAGAGGTTGAGATAAAGAGAAATTATATGCCTTGATTAGGGATACCCAGCATTGCCTTATTTCAGAAAGGTTTTTAGGCACTCAGTAAATTGGAGTGAAAAAAATTAAAGATCCTTAAGCATAGTGTAGTATTCTTTCTTTGATACAATACTGTGTCCCAAACTTAGAGTTGTTCCACAAAGTGTCATGTACATAAGGAAAAATGCATTAGCATGTTTTATTAAGTATTACACTCTCAACAGTATGTACAGTACTTACAGGAAAATAGAAGTACAATATGTGACCTCAGAACATAAGGAAATTACAAACTAATTGGGATATAACCATTTTACCCATTCTCTAAATATCATTCAGCTGTACTAGTTGTCCATGATAGTCCCTCCCCACGACAGTTGAAATCTAATGATATACATCAACGATTATCAAACAGCACAAGAATGAATCTGTGTGTGGTCATTTAAATTAAAATCAATATTAAGGACATTACAGGGAAAGTCATATAATATGCTTATATTTTTATCACATAGCTACATAAAAAATTGAACTGTTTTCTAATTGTTCTTGAAATGTTACTATATTCTCTGGCAGTTATATTAAAAATTACTAAGGTTTGAATTATCTAAGTTACTTGAGTTAGCTTCGAAGGCCTTCAAAAATTGCAGTACCATTTAAAATGTAACAAATTTGTTGGTATTGATGTCTCTGCCCACTGAGCCTGTCTTATTAAATATTGCAGGAAATCTTCCAGAAATTAAAAAAGATTATGGAATCTCCATATATTTTGGAATTATTTTCTTTGCATTGAATTTAAAGGATTGTGTTTATGTTAATTGGATTACCTCTGATATTTAATCCACTTTTTTTGAGGTTTTTATACTCTTTTCATTACAGTTGATGGAAACACCTGGGCACAAGTAATTGCCTTATACCCAACTTTAGTAGAATGCATCACCTGCTCATCTTCAGAAGTCTGCTCTGCACTTAAAGAGGCGCTAGTTCCCTTTAAGGATTTCATGCAGCCACCAGCATCCAAAGTTCAAAATGGAGAATCTTGACCAGCTACAATAAACTTAAAGAAGATATCTGAAGACTGTGTGTGTGTGCTCCTCAGCGAGTCTTCTGTGAGAAGACATGTCTTACTACAAATAATTCTTGGCAGCTGTTGTTGGCCTCATTTAAATTGTACTTACCTGAGCTCAGTAATTCGTATTACAAGCTTCTCAACAAAGGCTCCTGAATGAGTATCAGTGCAGGCCTTTAATACATTAAACTGATGAGAGGGATAGTTAATACTACAACATACTTGCTACCATATCTTCAATTGGTGATTTAAAAGTGAGCTTATGTACAGTTTGTGGTGTATGTGTTAATGATGTACTTTTTAAAAAGAAAGAAAAAATATTTCAGTCAGATTTATTAGGCTGGTGTTTTTGTGCCCTTTTTCAAATACAAAAGTGTAATAAAATTTTATGCGAGATGGTACTGTAACATTCCATATTATCTTTAACCAGCCTTTGTAAACAAAAGGAACTGATATACTTGTGTGTATAATAAATGGTACAGTTCTGTATAAAATAGTTGCATTTATTATTTAAAATTTTAAAATACTGATAATGTTAAATGCTTAATGCTGTATTTATTATTAATATAAAATTGTTTGCTTACATTTTTACTTATAATTTGCCTTCTTAAGCGGCACATACGCTCACCATATGATCGTGCAGTTAGCTCAATGATTATTTTAAATGTAGTTGCTAGTGACTGACTACATCTGACCAGAAAGGCCATGTGAATACAGCAGCAAATAATTTATGATTTGCTGATTTTGCAACTTTAAAGTATAGATTATTAACTTAGTACATTCAGATATATTGTAGCACTATGATTTCGTCGTACCTCATTTCTTTAAATATCTTTCCCAGCTTTTACATAAGTCTGGTCTGTTTTTATATTCGCTGTCTGGATTTTAAGACTTTCATATTTTCTACTGATTTTGCCCCACCGACTAACAACATTTATCACTGCCATTGAATTATGAACCAGGCAAGATGATTTCAGATTTCCTAAAATTTTGCCTCTAAGGTTTTGTTTATTTCAGTGCTTCATTTTGTAGTGTCTTTTCAAAAAGAAAAATAACTATGGTAATCCATAAATATAAAATGTGTATGTATTCTAAAACAATAAGAAGTGTATTTTTGGAGATAGAGAAGCATTTAGAAGTACAGTAAACTTTCTGTCATGGAGAAAAATGCTAATTTTGTTTCACTTTCCTACCCTAATGAAGAAGAAAAGTGCTCCTGAGTCCACGGACTTCACGGGTCCTTATAAAGCTGACCTAGCTTCCTGTGTTTTTTATTTTATGGATTATGCTGTTATATTTTTCTTCTGAGTTAAATTTTCATAATCATTATGTAAAACTCAAAGACATTTAAAATAATTATTTTTCATAAAAATCATAATGGTCTCAGTATTATTTTAGTGTGCTGGGAGGCCTTTGATTTTAATAATAAGTTTCAGCCTCTCCAGCATATTTATTAAACTATGAGAAGATATTAGAATTAAATAATGACTGAGATAAAATTTTGAGGCTATCGTAATTGTGTAATAATTTGCTCTATTATCTGTAAACAGGTGGTTGGATCTTTTTTTGAGGAAATAGTATTTTTTTACATGAATTAATGAATTTCTATTTTATAATTTCACGTAAAATATGGCATTTCCTAGATTCTGTCTTCAGCATTTTCCTTAAAGAAAGTTGTAAAAAATAGTTGCTCAAGCTGTGTATTTAGTTTACTTTCTATATTTGGTCATGTTAAATTGGAAATTAGAAAAATCTGCATGTCATTGATAAAGTATTGAAATAGAATAACAGGGGTAGTCTACCAGTTCAGTAACATGTTAAAAATATTGCCAAGAAATTACATGAAGTAAAAATATGTCTGTATTGAGAAATAACAGATCAGTTGCAATTAACATTACACTCTAGTGGAAGTTCAATATGAGTCCAAGGTGTATACATATATTTATATGAACTGAGTGATTTTATTAATACTGTATTGACTTCCAATACCAGGATCATACCCTACAGCTCAATACATAAATTTGGTGAATGTGTAAATACCATATAATATAGCAATCAGTGGCAGTCAATGACAAGCAAAGTGGGCCACCCCCTTGGTGGTGTAATTTGACAGGTTTTTCCTCCTGGAATATCTCTCACCACCCCCAAGAGTCACTACTGACTTATTCCCTTGAGTCAAGCAGTTCTCTAGGCTACATCTGCTAAAATATCCTGATTCCTGGGAGGTTAACACATTGCCCTTGTCTTTTTGGTATGAATTGAGTTCTTTAGTGATTAGAAGAACTGGGCTTTGTGAGATTACTGCATACTAAGAGATTCAAAAAGAAAGCTGCCAAAGCTAAGATCATTTTGCAGGACAGTTGAGACTGATTAATCCATGAAACAGTAGTAATAATGCCCTTTGGTCATATTACAACTTCTAAGCCTCCATGTAATCACTTTTTGTCACTGACAGTGCCTATATAAGCAGGGATTCCTCCCTTGCCCCAAGATAACAGAATTATCTTCGGGAGGGCAGGCCCCTTGTAGTACAGGCTTCCCCCACTAGGTTAGTGTTCTAGGAACCCATCTGTATCAGTGCACAAGCTGGCGTTTTTGTGAGAGGCTGCATTTGGCTTCAGTGAATTTTTAAGACATTTCAGTGTGTTGCCCATTTCATGATGGGTCATTTATGAGTGCCCCTGCCCACACTGTGCTAAGTGTGCAGCGGTTTTTGACCAAAAATGTCATGACCCCTGTGCCCCACCCTCCTTATTCACTTGATCTCTCCCTGAGCAACATTTTTATTGTTTCCCTTCAAAGGGAAATGTTTTGCCAGTGTGGAAGAGGTGAAACAAAAAACTGGCTGAAGCACTAAAGGCATCAAAATCAACAAGCTCAAAAACTTTTGAGCAATAGAAAAGTCTTGATAGGTGTATTGCATCAAATGAAGAGTACTTTGAAGGTGACTGAAATTTAAGCATGTAAGAATAAATTCACAATTTCTTATAAATAAATCCCGGGGGTTTTTTTGGGTCCCTTCTTGTATATAGGTTGCTGGACAACAGACATCTGCCAACAATTGGATTAAATTCCTTTTCTGACTATTTCTTTAATTATAAAGGAAACAAATCAAAAATTTTAACTTGGAATAGCTTTTTATTTTTTTATTTATTTTAAAAACACTAAATTTCTTGATTTCAGTGCGAGGGAGGATGGAAGAGAAAGAGATTATTTGTTTTACTTATGTATGTGTTCATTGGTTGATTGTTGTATGTTCCCTGTCGGGGATCAAACCTGCAACCTTGACATATCAGGACAATGCTCTAACCAAGTGAGCTACCCAGCCAAGAAAGAATAGCTTTTTTTAAAGGTTTTTTTTTTAATGCTAGCACTGCCCAAAAGGAAAAGAATAGGTCATTTTGTAATGTCTTATGAAGTACTTCTTTATAATCGGTGTTAAAATTTTGTTAGTGTTACTGTATATATTTGTAACATTTACTTATTAGGAGCCTGTGAGGTGCCAAAAGGAAAATTGCATAAAAGTCTGCTTTAGAGAGAACCACTGTTCACTTGCTTTCATTTTTTTATTTTATTGTAATAATAGCTATAGTATTTCTTACCTGTCTTTCCCCTTTATGATTATTGAGTCAACTCTTGCTATATACCTTAAATTGTATGTTACACAGAAGGAAAAGGTGAACAATTAAGTACATACATTTTATTCTGAAGAATAGCATATATGTACTTGCCCTGACCAGTGTGGCTTAGTGGGGTGGGCGTCATCCTGAGGCGCAAGTCAGAGGCTGACCCGCAGGGCCTGCTCTGGGCCATCAGATGGGGAGATAAAATAATTCGTCCCAGACATTTTTCTGTCTGCCGGGAGAAGGGGGTGGCAATTCCCTCTAGTGGAGAAGGCCCCAAACCCCTGTGCTCAGTGGCTTTTATTGAAAGGGTTATCAATGGGGCTAGGTAGCAGGAATGTACAGGTGATCTCATTACATCAGTATGTTAATGTTTACAGAGAATAAGTGATGTGTTAAAGAAAACAAATGGCAGAAACACACCAACTTACATGGGTCCAAGACGAGATGAGTAAACATAAGAGGCCAAATGGTTTAGGGTCAGGGTCTGTGAATAATGTAAATTCCCTTCCCAGCATGAGCTGGATATCATAGCTTTTGAGGGAAAAACAAAGTGCACTTCAAGGAATTTACTTCTAGGCCCGATTTCCCCCAGGAACCGGCTGATCCAGTTTAGGGCTGTCTCCAATATTGTTTCAAACCTGAACCAGGCAGGCTGGTGGGGCAGCCAAGAGAAAGGAGACTCCTTTCAGATAGAATGAGGACTCTGGCCATATCAAAGCTGAGGAGTGAGGTCTTTTGCCCTTCCTCCGTGTCCCCCAAGTCCTTCCCATGATGGCCTCTTGTAATTGTGCCTGTCTTAGGTTGCCCCTGCCATTGAGGGATCTTACCCATCATTGACTAACCAGCCATCCTTTGAGGCCAAGCAAGGTGATGTGAGGGACAAGTTTAGTGTCCTCAGTGGCCTATTTTCCAAGGCCTCATTGTTTAGCTCCAGCCTTGGGGCTTCCTGTCTGTCGGTGAGGCTACAGTTCCTGAAACCAGGTGAGACGGTTCCCAACATCATCCAGCAAAGCTAGGGGTCGCTGGTTCGATTTCTAGTCAGAACACATGCCTGGCTTGCAGGCCAGGTTCCTGTTTGGAGGCTTGTCAGAGGCAACTGATCATGTTTCTCTCCCTCTCTCCCTCCTTTCCCCTTTCTATAAAAATAAAATATTTTTAAAAACAATAGCATATACATAATTCTGTAACAGATTGATAACAGAACAACTAAGTTATTTTCCTTTCTTGATATAACTTTAGAGTATTTTGTTCATTGTCACAGTTTTGAACCACTAGTCCCAGGTAACCATTTGGCTAGTGTTAGTTAAGAAACTAAGAATGAAACAACATAAATTATTGAACAATGTTAGAAAACAAACAACTCAAAAGTATTCATTACACTTGTGTTAATGAAAGAAAATGTAGTTATTATACAATGACTAATACTCTTCTCAAATGTAGAATAATTAAAATGGGCAACCAGATTCTCAAAAATGGAGTGGTATAGGTGAAGTCTGTCTGGTGAAGGCAGAATACTTTCAGGGACCCATCTATCTGTGGCTGCTATAGAAATTAATAGTGGAGATTTGGAAACACCTGGAATGAATCAATGTCCAGACCAAGAATATTGTGAATTTCTGTGTGTGCTTTTTTTAAAATAGAAAACTACCACTGATGTGGACAAAAATGGCTTTCTGAAAGAAGTACAGGCGGCCATATATGCTCTTTAGACTTCTCTTTAATAGGTTTAGCATTTTGGCAGATAATGCTGATCATGTGTAAACTTGTGTAAAGTACCACCTTTTAACTATGCTTAGTGTCATTGGGTTGTATTTATCTACATTATTAGTGTGAATTCTGCTCTTTTTTCTTTTAAATTACCATTCATAGAATGAATGAAAGGGAGTTCATAGCACGTGGTGTGTTACCAATTTATATATTATGGGAAAACAGTTAATACTTCAGAAGCACTTGAATTAAAATTTGTTTATCTCTGGCAAGCATTCTAGTGCTTTAAATTAAAATGAAAAATATTTATAGATTGGGAAAAAATCTTATAATGTCTTTGTATCTTAATTTATATAAAAACTTTCAGAAGAGTTAAATATCAATTTCTTACATATCTAGTAATTTTGAATGTGCTGGCAATGCTGGTTTTTTTAAAGGAGCATGCAGTCAGTCCTTTAGTGAATACAATTATTCTTATTAATCTCAACAAATTGTGAGGCAGTGAAGAGCAGAGGCTCTGCCTCTTATTTAACCTTAGGCATGTTAACTTTCCAGAGCCTTTGTTTTCTAATATTTAAAACATGACAATCAGTGAGTTCTCACAAAGTCTTGGAGGAAAAAAATACATTGTTAGATTTTAGAGTGATTTCATGACATACTTAAGGTAACTATTCAAGTTGTTTTTTTTTTAATTATTTTATTTTATTTTTTTTATTTATTATGCTCTTTGCTTGCCCCAATTTTCCCCTTTTGGCCCCCTCCACCCAGCACTTCCTCCAGTGAGCCCCTCTCTGTTGTTTATGTCCATGGGTTATGCATATAAGTTGTTTGGCAACTCCATTTTCTATATTTTCTCTTAACATTCCCCTGCCTATTCTGTAACTACCAGTTTGTACTCATTAATCCTGTCACCTTTTCCCCCATTGCCCCAGACCCCCCGCCCCACTGGTCACCTTCCCAGTATTCTCTATATGATTCTGTTTCTGTCTGCTTGTGTGCTTAGTTTGTTTTCTTAGATTCAGTTTTTGGTAGCTATGTATTTATTACCATTTTATGTTCATAGTTTTGATCTTTTCCTTAAATGAGTTCCTTCAACATTTCATCTAATAATGGTTTGGTGATGATGAACTCCTTTAGCTTTACCTTGTCTGGGAAGCCCTTTATCTGCCCTTCTATTCTAAATGATAGCTTTGCTGGACAGAGGAATCTCGGTTGTAAGTCCTTACTTTTCATTACTTTGAATACTTCTTGCCAGCCCCTTCTAGCCTGGAAAGTTTCTTTTGAGCAATCACCTGACAGTCTTATGGGAACTCCTTTGTAGGTAACTCTCTGCTTTTCTCTTGCTGCTTTTAAGATTCTTTATCTGATCCTTTTGTAGTTCATAAGTGTGATGATTGGGTGTTGCTCCTGTTGTGTGACATGTGCCTCCCACAAATCTTGTTATGACAATCAGCACATTACCTGTCTGACGTGAAAAAAATATATTAAAAAAAGATCCTTTAACCTTCGGCATTTTAATTATGATGTGTTCTGGAGTGGGCCTCTTTGCATCATTCATCTTGTTTGGGACACTGAGCTTCCTGGACTTGCATGTCTATTTTTTTCACCAAACTAGGGAAGTTTTCTGTCATTATTTTTTTCAAATAGACTTCCAATTTCTTGCTCTTTCTCTTCTCCTTCTGGTCCCCCTGTGATACGAATGTTGGAACACTTGAAGTTGTCCCAGAGGCTGCTTACACTATCCTCATTTTTTTGGATTCTTTTTTTTCTTCTTGTTCTGATTGGTTGTGTTTTATTTCCTTACATTCCAAATCATTGATTTGATTCTTGGCTTTATCCACTTTACTGTTGTTTCCCTGTAAATTGTTCTTTATTCAGTTAGTGTATCCTTCATTTCTGACTGGATCTTTTTTATGCTGCTGAGGTCCTTATTAAGTTCCTTGAGCATCCTTATAACCATTGTTTTAAATTCTACATCTGATAAATTGCTTATATCCACTTTGTTTAGTTCTTCTCTGGAGTTTTCATCTGTTTTTTTCAACTGGGCCATGTTTCTTTATCTCCTTGTTTTGACAGCCTCCCTGTGTTTGTTTCTATGTATTATGTAGAGCTGCTATGATTCCCTGTCTTGGTAGTGTGGCCTAATATAGTAAGGGTCCTGTAGGGTCCAGTGGCACAGCCTCCTCTATCACCCAAGCTGAGTACTTGATATGTGGCCTTCATGTGGGCTGAGTACACACTCCACCTGTAGTTGAGCCTTGATTGCTGTTAGCAGGTCAGTAGGAGGGATTTTCCCAGACCAGTCAGCTGCAAGGACTGACTGTGATCCCTGACCACCAACCTCCGCCCTCTGGAGAATCAGCTGTGCAGGGGCAGGGTGGTGGTGCTCTGATATAGTCCGTAGCTGTCTACTGGGTGTCAGGCTCTGGGGTTTCCCGGGTGGTGCAGGGAAAGGTCACCTCGCACCTGTGTTTTGCCTGAGGCCACCCTGCCTGGGCTATAAAGCACTCTGAGATGGCTGCTACTTGTTCTGGGCTTGGAGATTCCCAGGCAAAGCCAAGGTGTGAATCTAGGTTGGTATCTCCTAGTGTCAGGCCTGGGGCCACCTAGCAAGAGGTATAGGGACTGGGGACTCACTGAGGCCAGCTGTTGCTTGTTTGAGAGGATTTAGGAAGTTATGAAGCATGAGCCAAGACCAGCCATTCATATGGAAAAGTATCTGTTAACAGCTTGAGTGGGCCCATAAGTTGGGTGGAACAGAGTCTCAGGGGATCTCCAGGGTAGGGAAAACAGTACTAGCCAGGTTGATGGAGTCTCAGATATAACACTCACCTGCTGGTCTGTGGCTCTGTCAGGGGAAGGTTCAGAAAAGGGACGATGGCCTCTGCCTGCCTTTCTGTCTGGGAGAGAGCTATCCCCCAGCTCTTGCCTTGATGCCAGAGACTTTAGTTCTTCCCTTTATGCCACTGGTGCCTTTCAAGCTTCTGCCCCAGTGCCAGAGCTCAGAGGCAGTGAGTTTGAGTATGTCCGTATATGGGTTCTTTAAGAGGAACTACTTGGGACTCCTGAAGTTTCTTCCACCAACTCAGTCCCTGCTGGTTTTTGCAGCCAGAAGATCTGGGGACTTATCTTCCAGGCACTGGAACCCCGGGCTGGGGGGCCCAGTGTGGGGCTGGGACTCCTTGCTCCCGAGATATCCCTCCTGAACTTTTATTCACCACAGGTGGAGGTGGGACCAGCCCATTCCGCATATATGCCCCTCCTGCCAGTCTGGGTGGATGTGGTTTCTTTAGTTCTGTAGCTGTCAGACTTCCATTCAACTCGACCTCTGATGGTTCTGAGTGATGGTTCTATACTTTAGTTGTAATTTTGATGTGGTTGTGCAAGGAGGTGAGCCACGTTTACCTGTGCCACCATCTTGACTGGAAGTCTCAGATTGTTTTTGATAAATTTATTATTATATCCTAATTGAGACCTTTGTATATTTTTTCCCCTTTTCCTCCTGCCTCAATTTCTTCCCTTCTCATTCCTTAAAAAAATTTTTTACATTTGTTTTGTCTTCTTTTCTATACTTTTTCCCATTTTTTTCTCATTTTCTCCTTTCATTCGTCTTTACTCTCTGCCTCTTTTCTTCCAGCTCTTCCTCTAATTTCACCTATACCTTATTCAAGAGCTATCACTTGCTAGTGGAAGAACCACGGCCAGCTGTCTTTCTTTTTTTTCTTTTCTTTTCTCTTTTTCTTTCTTTTTTTTTTCTTTTTTGCAAAGGTGAGGTCTCCCTGCCAAAATAGCTGAACAAGTTAAAGTAATTTGTGACTAGAGCTCCTACTATCTTTTGAAGCCACAGGATTCAGCATCAAGGATGTGCACAAATGAGATTGCGATAAGTATGATGAATTCAACAGCTAACCTTGGGATAATAATGTCTTTTCTGTTATGCAGATAGAGAGATCATAGCACTTTTCTCAAAAGGGAATCTTTAAAACCAGTTTACATTAGGGTTGGGGGTTTTTTTGTCCTTTGTTTTTCGAGGCAAATACTTTGAGCTATGTCAGACTGTGTTTACTAAACAGGAGGACTTGACAGAGTATTGCCCATGTATTTCCATTACTTTGGTTTTTCTGTTACAAAACAGTATTCTTTTGACAGAAGACCTAGACTGTTATAGTATTCCTCTCCAGGTCTTTCTAGGGTACCTTTCATAACTATGTGCGTGGTGTTTACAGTGATAGAGATATGGTCATTGAAACATTCCTAATTACACTGTGGGATTGATTCTAGTCTCTCAGAAAGGAAAAAGGAAATTATTGTACCCTTTAATTTTGATACCATTTTCAGTTGTCACAAATTTAGTTACATTGTTTTGTTTTAAACTAACATTCAATAAATAGTAGAAGCAAGAAAGATAAAAATTATGCCATTACTTGGGAAACTATTACAATGTAACAACTCTGCTTTATATGAAGTTTACTAGATATGAGAAAAATTCCAAAGCTATAATATTACAATCTTTTTATCTAGAAAAATAAAATAAAATATTAGGCTTCAGACCCAACTGTGCAAATTGTATTTGCTTTCCAGCTTTTACTACTTCTGTGTCATGATTTTAACATAAAACATACAACTCCTGTCTCTTAAGGCAGTTACCCATATGGTGTTTATGTCAGACTGGATATATTTATCTAATTTTGTGAGTTTCTTTTTTAGCTCCCAACGCAGTTCTTGAAAGTAATACCGCTGTTGTTACACTTTCTCATTGCAATTTTTATGTTGTTGAGATACATCAGTTACATATTATAATCATGAAAGTCTCTTGGCCCCAAACCCAGATTTTCTTTGTGGTTGAGGATAGGTTTTTTCACAAAAACCTAGATAGTTATAGCTGTGATTGTATAGATCCTTAATTTGCTTTACAGTTACCACTCAGCATGACTCTAGATTTTTAATTATGTTCTAACAGTGCTAGTTTTCTCAGCATAACTTAAAACCATAACCACTTTGAGAATTTACTTTCAGAGATGATAAATGATTCACTTTTTCTTTAATATACTTTGTGTTTGCTTTCTCATCCTAAGTTCAACATATTAGTGATATTCCATATCATTAAAACTGTTTAACTTCATAAGTAATTATTCAAGTATGCTTAAGATGGGTTACATATGCCATTAATTTGAGGAAAAGTGTTTTATAAAATAGAATAAGAAAGGTGTGTTTTTGAGAGCTTTTTAAAAGCTATTAATATGTAAAATGAAAAAATAGAAGAATACGCACATGGACATTATGAAATACCTCTATCTTTCATTAGTTAGGAAAGAAAGCAGATATAGAAATTAGTATTAAATTTCCAGACCAAAAAATGTTGAACTTAAAAAAAATTCTAGGTCAGGACAAAAACATAATCCTCAAGTGGATTAGACTTTTATAATTATTTCTTTTGTTTTATAAGTATTCCTATTTATTTTTAATTTAGTGAAGCTAATTTTGAGACTACCTGTCTAGCAATGCTAGACCATCCCTCCACCTTCCAAAGAAAAATAATTTGTCTTAAATTTTCTTTTTCTGAGTACATGAACTTTGTAATAAATGTATGATATTGAAAAATTCCTACAAAATGTTTCCAGCAGTCAGATGTAGTTATATATAATAATTATTCTAAGTTCTAATTTTAACTTTTCTGGAGTACCTAGTATGTATCAGCCAGGGCTTTACCTATATTAGTGCTATAAAAAGTAATAATCCTCACAGAAATCCTGTGAGGTAGGTATTATTACACATAGTTTACAGAGGAGGAAGTCAAGGTTTAGAGGTTGAAATAACTTGCCTAGAGTCACACAGCTAAAGTCTGTGTAAATTAGCATGTCTTGCTTCAAAAGCAGTTCTCTCCACTACAACGTGCTAGTTTCACTCCATTAAACTCTAAGTCTTACTAAAATAAAGTTAAAATACTTTGTATACAACTACTATTTCTATGAATGGATGTTGCAACAAATGAACATAACAAAGAACTTCAAATACTATGAAGAAAAGATTTGTCTAATGACTATGACCTATAATAGGTTTTTATTATTGGTCCAGGACAGGTTAAAATAGCTAATTGATTTGTTTGTTATATTATAAGCATAGTGGTTAAGGGTCCAGTCTGGGGCCAGACTTCCTAAGTTCAAATCCTAGCTCTGGCATTTCCTACATGTGTGACCCTGAGCAAGTTGGTTAACCTGTTTTGGTTTTCACGTGTGAAATGGAGTTAAGAGTCGTGTTTAACTCATAGAATTCTTTATTAGGAATTAAGGAGGAGTGTTACAGAGCACTGTCCATAGCACATGGTAACTGCTATGTGGGTGTTACATAAATAACATACACTTTTGGTACATATCACTTAAAGATGGGAAGAAAACCTATACTTTCTCATAAAGGGACCAATTTCTTGCCTTTTACTGGGACAAGCACTGCATGTTAAGAATCTACTATATGCTCATAACTGTGTCCTTTCTGTATGCAACAGAAGTCCTTAGGTTTGCTCAGGTGCTTATAGCTAGTTCAGGAAAACACATACATAAAATAATACTAAATACAAGATTGTATATAATTAAGTACTCCTGTCACTAACATTTTAACTCCTATAATGTGCTAAGCATTGGTTTACTCTGTGCCCTCATGGAGTTTACAGTTTTGCAGGGAATATAAGACCTTAAACAAATGTGCGAAGTACTGTGGAAAACAAGTACTGCACACATTAAAATAGAATCATAAAATAGAGAACCTAAGCCTAGTACTCTGTGGTTGAGGTTATTATTGTTAGTCTTAAGAAGGAAAATCAATAAAGAAATGAAAAAGCTTAGTGGTTGAGATAGAACTTAAAATGGGCCCCGATGGTGTAGTAGATTTTGGATGGTTCCAAAGGATATCGCAGGGTGTTAACAGAGAAAGACAAATGATGTGAGCAAGGCACATCTGAGCTATGAGGAAGCTGATAGCACATTTCCTTATGTTGTGTGAAACAAGGTTGCCAATAAGGAATTGAGGCCCATTCATAAAATTCCTTGAAAGGTAAGCAGCGTAGTTTAGATTTGAGATGATAGGAGTTTGGAGTGATTATTTTTAGGAGTAAATTATGAAACTAAGGAAGATAAACTTGCAGTTACAAGCCAGATGGAGTGGAGGGACTATAGGGAAAGCTAAGATAGAAAGAAGGCTGTTGCAATTTTCCTGCTGTGAGGTCATGATGAAAGATTGATTAGCTGCAGGTAGTCAGTCACATTTGTAAAGGATGCTTAGATTCGGGATACTATGGGTGGAGAAAAATAAAGAGTTGCTAATAGCACATTGCGTCTGGATGATGAGTGCATTGGTGTTAGCACCGTCAAAAACAGGTTAATTGTGGAAATGAACCTTATACAATTAAAGTAGGGTAATGACTACATTTAGTTGGAAACTTTATTGCTGTAATGTATCTGTATACTGTAAACCAAACAACTGTTTACAGACTATTTGAAAATCTGTTCCATTATGACAAATGACATTTGCTATGGTGCAGGATAATGTGATACACGGTGCAGTGAAAAACAGTGAGGGGTGATGCCTCCTTGGCAGCTCATTCACAGCGTATCAGGACGTGGTGGTGTGAATCATAATGAAACTACTGGTGAAGTTTCTATAGACTTAGTGGTAAGCTTCTTTGTGATGCATAGTCTTGTTTAGCGTGGTCAAATAAAGCATTTAATTGCAAGTGTGTCCTATATACACACAAAAATAAATACATAAATATTGTTAACTGAAAATAGTTCGGAATGGACATCCCAAGCAAACTACCTTCAGCAGTTGCTTTAAAATGTGAATAAGCGTAACATTGAGATGTGTCACTGGGCAAGTATTTTTCCTTAATTTGCATATTACGTTTATTTGGAAACATGTACGCCAGGATGCTTTTAATGTGAAAACGTGTTCTTCAAGAAACTGACCTGTCACTAATACCATAAAGAATAGAAAAAAAACAGTATTAGCTCATCTTTAATTTTCAAGCATTCTCTTGGTGGAGAGGATCTGTTATAAAACATTATATTGTGCTGGTTTAAGGGGGGAAAAGTCTTATTTTTCCAAAGATGAGTTACACATGGGTGCCCCTTTATGCGTCGGTGCCAGATTTTGTGGTCTGGGCCTTAGCCCTCCGCCATCCATGAAAAGGTCAAAGTCTCGCACACAGTCGTCCCCATCCGAACTCTTCCACTCTGTTACTTGTAGCCTGGATTTTCTGGAGCGTGATGACGAAGAGGATTGCCAGCTTTAGCAGATAAAAATACAGGACGCCCAGTTAAATCTGAAGTTAAGATTTTTCTGTTTTAATAGGGGACACACATATACTTAAGTTTTCCCTTATCTGAAACTTGAACTTAATTGGACGTTCCGTATTTTATCTGACAACCCCTGTTTACTTTTCCTTTAAAATGATTTACGACAAAAATTCCTAAATGAGGGGCAAAAAGTAACTTGTCTGGGACGACAGCAGATCTGGCTCACGGAAGTCGGCCTTCTCCCAATCTTGGCCTTTAAGAAGAAAAAAGGCAACCCACCAGTCCCGGGAGCCTGCGCATTAAAGAGAGCTGTGCAGCAGCTTTCCCGCCGGTTTTCTGCGGATTGTAGCACTGTGGCCACGCCGCGGGGTGGAGCGCAAAGGGCTGTGTCCTTGCCGGATAGGAAAGGAGGTGCCGGAAACTTTAAGCCCCATCGGAGTACAACGTGTCCACTTAGACGGCGGTAAGTGCCGCCATTTTCTTTGCGGGCACATACCGGGAGAAGTTCGGTATCTCACTTTGCCCCGTTAAGCGGACTAGGGTGCATGGTACGCGACCTCAGCACTTTGGTGACGTGGAATTGGGGTTCCCCCCTTTTGGAGCTGATTTCTAATGACACGTCGAAGCCTGCCAAGGCGGGGAAAGGGACGCTGCTTCTGTCCCGGATGTAAGATGGCGGCGCAGGCGGCGGAGAGGGGGGAGCCTGGGGGGGGGCGGTCACGTGTTGGGGAGTAGCGCGCGATCCTCCTTAAGGGATCTCTATGGTTCGTCCCGGCGCACAGGAGCAGCGGAGCGCGAGGCGGTCGAGTGTCCGCGCGTGCGGAGCCGGCGCCGCCGCCGCCGCCACCGCCGCCGCCGCCGCCGCCACCGCCCGCCGTCTCGCTCGGTTTCCGCTTTTCGGCATTTTTGTTTGCTTTATTCTCGCCTTCTGCAGAGATGTACAGGATTACCCCTTAAGGGTCCTGGGGAACGTGTGGCTGGGGACTTCCGGGCTGTGCCTTGGTTTCTTATCGCGGCGCCGGAGCCGCTGTCCACCTCTGCTGGAAGCGCTCTGGGCGTTCGCCCATGCGGAGAGCCGGCCGGGCGGCGTATGTGGGGAGCGTGGCGCCGGTGGGGACCTGGCCGCCGCCCAGCCCCCACTGTGGGCTTGGGGCGGGGAGGGGCGCGGGCGGCGCAACCCGGAGACGTGGCGGGAGCGGGGCGAGGATGGCCCGAAGCTCCGGGAGGGCGGCGGACGAAGCGCGGGAGCGCTGGTCGCTGACTCTCGAAGACCGTCGGATCCAGTTGGCATCTGGCTGCGCTTTGGCCGCCCATTTCCTGCTTTTGAGTGGCCCAGGGGACTAGCTCCCCTCGGCAGAGGTGGGAGCGGCTGCCTCCGATACGACCGGGCGCACTTTTTCTGTTTCGAGAGAGGTCGGTTACAGAGAGAAGTCCTGTCCGGTTGCTGGCGCCGCCTGTGATCCCCGGAGCTCTCGGGGTGCTCCCGGTGCGGCCGAGCGCGGGGCTCTGGGCGGGGTCTTCAGCGTGTGTGGGGCCGCGGGGAAGGACAGGGGTGCCAGCCAACGTCGGCAGCGGAGGAAGGACGGAGTAGCGCCGGAGCCGCTTCGCTCGCCCTCAGCGTGGTCTGGTGCCTCCCCGACACCATGGCCCTGGCTGAGGTAGTAGTTTGTGCTGTTGGTCGGGTTGTGACATTGCCCGCTGTGGAGATAACTGCGCAAGCTACTGCCTTGCTAGTGCTGGTGATGCTCAGCGCCGCGGAGGACAATGGCTGGGAATCCCCTTTGTTTTCCGGGGCGCAGGAACAGTCTCCCGGAGCCCCGTCGCCCGGCTGGCTCGGCCACCGCGCAAACCGTTAGTTCTACGTTTTCCTGGAGGGAGGAAGGAATTGCGGGGAGAGGGGTGGACGGGGACATTTTAAAGCGGGTTTAAGAGCCAAGCCTTTGGGTTCGCTTTTTGTTCTTGTAAGAGTGGAAATTGTGTAGGATAATGACACGAAGTTTTCCAACCTCGATTATTTCAACGCTTCTTTCAGTAGTTGATGCAGGATTTAGTTTGTACCTATTTACTTCATGCTTTAGCTGTAGGTCGGAGTAGAGAGAACAGCCCTCGTCCAGATCTGGCATTGGGAGCAGAATATAGTAGACTCATTAATTATAAAGTTTATGCCTTAAAGCATTTTAAATCTGGATTTTTGATGTGTTCCCTCGGAAAATTTAAGAGTTTTAAAAATGTAAACCTGAAGCAATTAAAAGTTTCTATTTAAACTTTGTTTGCAACTCCTTGAATGAGAAGATTGAATTTATAGCTAAATGCACTGTTGAGATTTTTTTTTAATGAAGCAAATAAATTCTTTCTACAGTCTGCCGTGAGTGGTATTTTTTCTTAGTTTAACTTTGGGGACTCAAATTCTGATGGTGTGGGTATTTTTTGGCCTTTGATCCTCTTGTTACTTGATAATTTTTATATCATTTTATTTTTGCATTGCACTTTAGTATGGGCGGAAAGAATCTAGTTAGGAGTTAAAAGTATGGTTTCTGGATGTTGGGGCTTAAAATCCAATTAGCGCTCATTTTGATTCCTGAGGTACCACTACTCCAAATAGGAAAATACAGTTTTTATAAAGAAAATTTAATTTGGAGAGCTAATTAAATTACTTGCTTTTTTAGATACTCTGAATTCTGGGTGGAAAAGAAGAAAATTGTATTTTTTTTTAATTTTAATTTAATTGAGATACTTTGTAAATTTTAGTACTTTTCTTAAACTGACCTGGTTTGGATTTGTGCAGATTATTTAGCTTTAAATGTAATCACAAACAATTTTCTATGGTTTAATTTTTTGATGCTTAATTTAAAAAGGTAATTCTCTACTAAGAAGGCACATACATTGTAAAAAGAACTTTAAAAACTAACTGAATCCTTTCCATCCCCTTCAATAGGAGTCTGATGCTTTTGTAATTCAAAAGTGATCTAATAAGTGTGCCTTGGTTTGGTTTGGTTTAGTATAGCTTTGAGTCATTATCTTACTCCACCTGCCTCAGTGTGGAAAGGACAGAGACCAAGACCTTTACGTTGAATCTTAAACTGTAGGAAATACTTGAACGCAGGCTCTGTGAGCTTGCCTTTATTGATATAAAAGAGCAAAGTAAATTCAGGATTTTATTGAGTGTCCTTATAAATTTTGAAAATAACATTGTGCTATATCAAATCTTGATTTATGGAGAAATAATCGTAAACTTTTAGTTAATTTTCATTTTCCAAAATATTCAGCCAGTCAAGCTAATCCTCATCCAACAGAGGTTATAGTCTTTTCCACTGCGCTGTTGAACATTTTACAGAGGATCAACAGTTGTTCTTTACCTCAGAGGTATTACAGATTATGCCAGTAACTTTAATGGATCAGTAGATAGGAAACTGTACTATACAGATAAAATATGCATAGTTTTATCCACGGTTTTTAAACTAGATCTCATCCAAAACTATATTGCCTACATAGTAGGAACATTTTTGAGCTGTTAGATGTAAGGTACTTCCATGTTCTTGGTTCCTGAGTTACAAAAAATTACTGCTACTGCCAGCTTGTTTTTAGTACCATAGTTCTATTTCTGCTTTAATCGCAAGTCTTAAAAATGGATGAGCCTTTCACTTTTACATTACTTCACACGTAAGTGAAAATTACCTACTGAACGTTTTTACCGTTGACAATTTGCTATAAGATGATTTGGTCTTCTCAAAAGTACCAGTTTACAATCTTGGTACTTTTGACATTTATTTGGCACAATTAACATTTTTTGTTAAAGACCTATTGTCAAGCATTTAAGTAATTTGTATTACCAAAAAGCCACTAATGGGAAAGAACACGGCAGTATTTTGGATGCCCTTCTCAATAAGTACCAGACCAAAAGAAAGCTGGGTTATGTTAATAACATTTTAATAAATGTCACTCTCAATTATTGGAAATATAGATGTTATGCTATATGGGACACCTGTAGAATATTCTTGGGGAACAGTTTTGTTCATGTCTCAAAGTGAGAGCACCTGATTATTATATATAAAAGAATAAATATATATAAATAAAAAATACTTTATAAGCTTTTTAAAAATAAAATTGTCTTTTGGCAGGTAGGCAAGACTGACCAGGAAGGGTACACTCAAGACATATGTGTACTGTGTCTTAGGGAATAACCCCAAAAGAATTCTTGCCAGAGGAAGTTGACAACAGAGCCAAGAAAGCTGTGAAATTTCTTCATAACTATGCATTCTCACCACCTATTGTTTATTATACCTCACCCCCTCCATAGTAAAGAAATCTGATACAGGAGGTACTATTACTTCACTTCCCCCACTGAATACTCCTGACTAGATTCTGCAACAAAAGGAAAAATAGGACCGTTTTCACAAGTGAGTTACAAGAGATCGGTTATACCCAAGGGGAGAATTATTTCCATTGTCATAAAACCTAAAAAGCCATAGGTTGCCACTGATACATAGGTAATTGTGGGAAATATATTAAAATCACCTGAATGATTATTTAATGCAGTTCATTAAGTATTTTTTGTTATGTTATTAGGCACCATGGGGAAAGCAGTAATTGTATGGTTAGGTTACTGCCCCAAAGGAACACACAGAAAAAGGTGTAACATGAAGTGCTTAAGAAGCAGAATGTGGGCTAATAAGGAAAGCAGTGACCCACTTCACCTTTGAGACCTGGCAGGAAAAAGGGTGAAAGCTGAGGGGAGAGAAGTATGGAGCACTTAGATCATGTAGTTAGGTATCTTTTTGTTTGCATCCCCCTGTAGTCATTCTAAAAGTGGAATTGAGATCTTGGAGATGAGCAATACAATTATACTTGATAGCGATACTTTGGGTGGCTTATATTTTAAATTTGTTTTATGTGTTACTAATATGCTGGAGTGTTATCTGAATTTAATAAATACTACTAGTTCCACATGGAATATAGTGTGCTTTCATATCTCAAGTTGAGAGTTATATATACATATTTTTTTTGAGTTAAGTTTTCATTTTAGTTACCTTTCTTTAAAAGAGCAGTTTTGTTGAGATGTATTGGAATTGTGCCTACACAGATTTCTGACTGCTAAAGTTGTAAATGGGATCCTTTTAAGCTGCACCATTGACACCCAACAGTACAAATTTTGTCTTATAATTATATTAAATTATGTACAAACTTAAGCTGTCTTGTGTTGATTTTAAAGGGCAAGTTCCTAGTTCTCCTTATCCAAACTCTTAACACTGAAAATACACCATTTGCTTTTAGTCAGATTTCAAATTCCATCAGCTCCATTATAATATAATTGCGGGTGTTTTATCGTGAGGGTCAGAGCTTCTCAAAAGATCACATAGTGTCAAATGTCACAGAAAAGTAAATTAGGGGCTAAAAATTGTCCACAGACATTGGCAATTTAGGTCATGTATTTGTAATGCTGTGTTTTCTGTTAGGAATGAAAAA